GTTTGTTTGAGTTGGAATCTCACTCCGTCACCCAGGTTGGAGCACAGTGGCATGCTCACAGTCATCCCAGTGTCGACCTGCTGGGCTCAGGTGATCCCTCTGCCTCAGCCTTCCAAGCAGCTGGAACTACAGGTGCGCCACCCCGCCCAGATAAGTTTTTGATATGTTGTAGAGACAGGAGCCTCACCAAGTTGCCCGGGCTGGTCTCAAACCTGTGGGATCAGTCCACTCGCCTCAGCCTCCCAAAGTGCTGGGATTACAAGCTGAGCCACCGAGCCCAGCCATTTTTTTTTTTTTGAGCTGGAGTCTCACTCTATTGCCCAGGTTGGAGGGCAGTGGCACGCTCTCAGCCACCGCAGCCTCGACCTGCTGGGCTCCGGCGATCCTTCCGCCTCATTTTCCAAGTAGTTGGAACTACAGGTGTGTGCTACCATGCCTGGCTTATTTTTGGATTTATTGTAGAGACGAAGTCTCGCCAAATTGCCCAGGCTGGTCTCGAACCCCTGGTCTCAGGCCTTCCAAAGTGCTGGGATTACAGGCTGAGCCACCGCGCCTGGTCAAGCAAGTTAATGTATAACAAGGGACAGTAATTAAACAGGAGAATTTTGTCCTTGACTCCCTTTAATTATTTCCAGTCGTACAGAAAAAGAAAAATAAGCCAGTTACTTTATAATCCAAGGAACAAAAATGGTAACCATATGTGACTGAGTCACAGTCACATTGCTCAAGGATTATAGTGTTTTTGGGGTGCCAACAGCTTTTTTTTTTGAGTTGGAGTCTCACTCTGTCGCCCAGACTGGAGTGCAATGGCCGCTCCCAGCAACAACAGCCTCGACCTGCTGGGCTCCGGTGATCCTTCCGCCTCAGCCTTCCAAGTAGCTGGAATTACACGCATGCGCTACCACGCCCGGTTGATTTTTTAATTTATTGTAGGGATGAGGTCTCGCTGCCCAGGCGGGTCTCGAATCCGTGGGCTCAGGCAATCCACTCACCTCAGCCTCCCAAAGGCGCAGGATTACAGGCTGAGCCACGGAGCCGGGCTAGTTTTTGATTTATTGTAGAGATGAGGTCTCGCCAAGTTGCCCAGGCGGGTCTCGAACTTGCAGGCTCAGGAAATTCACTCACCTCGGCCTCCCAAAGTGTGGGATTACAGGCTGAGCCACTGAGCCCGGCTAGGGTCTTTTTTTTTTTTAAAAGCAGGATTTATTGAGAGGACAGAAAAGCTCCCACAGTGGGAGGGGACCTGAAGGGGTTGCCCGGAGATGGGGTCTTACTCCATCTGGAGTGCAATGGCATGATCATGGCTCACTGTAGCCTTAAGCTCCTGGGTTCCTTGATCCTCTAGCCTCAGCCTCCTGAGTTCTCAGCCCGGAGTACAGCCAGGAGCCATGATCCCCGGTTAATTTTTCTCTTTCAATTGGAAACTGTCGTTTACCGTCAGGCGAGTCACCTCCCCAAGGTAGGGAAGAGAGCCCCCATTTTAAAAAAATATTCTGTAGAGATAGGGTTCACCATGTTACTAAGGTTGGTCTTGAACTCCTGGCCTCAAGCGATCTTCTGGCCTGGGCCTCCCGTTGGCTTTAGATCATTTAATAAAATTCTCCCGCCAGGCTTGGTGGCTCAGCCTGTAATCCCGCGCCTTTGCGAGGCTGAGGTGAGTAGATTGCCTGAGCCCACGGATTCGAGACCCGCCTGGGCAGGCGAGACCTCATCTTTACAATAAATCAAAAAATCAGTCGG